TGAGGTATGTCAAAACCTTCCCTCATCTAATGAAGTTATTAGCCATGTCTTATGTAGGAAATAAGAATGAGTAAACATAAATATTTAAGAAAAGCAAGAGAAGCCTGGCTACATTGTGACCTGATATCACCAATGTCGCGCTTTAAAACTAGTGTCTCACATGTATTAATACCGAAAATTGTCTCCCTGTTAACTTCAGTCAGTACCACACCCTTATAGAAATATATGTCAAGGTAAAGCTGAACGCTTCTGAACTGGATACTTCTGAACATCTGAAGTAGTAACAAAAGGTAACACAAACTTAAATATGCCCCAGACAATATTAACAGGGGCACTTGGCTTCTGTTCCCTAGGAACAACTCAAAAATCAAAAACAAAAACAAAACAGACATCTTGGTCCGTAGAGTATCGTACACGCTGGCTTTGGCTCAGGCTGCACAGAGGCTGCCCCCGCCCCCCACCTGTTCAATGTCAAAACATTAATTCTATTACCTGTATAGATATATTTTCCATACGTTATATAAGTAATGCCACGTAGATTCACTCATTTGTGGTAGAGTTCTCCTCAATAAATTGTTCTGCCTCCTTGGCATTGGTGAAGCTGCAGCTCCTTCCCTTCCATGTAAAGTGCAGGGTGGCTGCGCTCTTCAGCGCCGTGGTTGTCACTTTGATGGTTGCGGTGTCTGCTGCGACACCCTGAAGCGTAGCACTAATTTTAGCTATCTCAGCGAAAATGTTCTCCATGCTCTTTGGTTCAACATCCCGTATGTCTGACACTAATGTGGGTGTCGTATCTTCCTTTGTATAGCTGGGGCCCTTCCTGGTGGATATGCGGCCTGCCGCCTGACCTCTGTTGGAGTGCTTGGTCATAGAAGTCATTTGGTTTCCAAAACTTCCACCGGGTGATTCCAATGTGTGCAAAAATGCCAACTGGGGCGTCTAATGCGCCGCCATCTTGCTCGACGTACCCACGTGACTCCCAAGGATGCAGATTTCACTTTTTCTTAAATCAATAATTGTTTGATGAAAACTACTTTCATATCTATTTCTTAAATGTGAAGCTACAGCTTGCAGTTGGGTTAGCTTAGCATAAACAATAAAAACAAGGAGAAAGCTAGCGTGGCTCGGTCCAAAGGTATCTACCTACCAGCCGTTCTGGTTGGCAGGTTGTGTTACCTTTGGACAAAGCCAAGCTAGCTTTCTCCCCCTGGTTCTAGTCTGCTAAGCTAAGCTAACCAACTGCTGTCTCTAATTTCATATTTAGAGCACGAGTGCTATCAATCTTCCCAAACACTATTTCCCAAAATGTGGTTTTATCATTGACCTTAGCTTTTCTCTCTTACTTGCAGTTCCTTACACAAATGTCAGCCTGGCTCTAAATGAAGAAACGATGACTGCCGTCTGCACTACCCAGGGATTCCCTGAGCCTTTGGTGAAGTGGAGACTCCAGTACCTCTCCAACAACTCCCAACACGTTCTCGATCCGAGGGATGTTCACACTACAGCAGTGCAGGACAATCAAGATCGTCAATACAGATTGAAGAGCGCTGTAGATATCCCTGGAGGTCAATATCGATCTGTGACCTGCCTCTTCCACAACCCTACCCTGAATGTGACTGTGAGCACCACCCACGTTTTAAACAGAGGTAAGTTAATAGAAGCTCTGCAGTCTTCCAGCATCTGGTATATGGTCATGCAGTATCTCTTACTCAATTTTAAATTACAATACTCTTTTAGCGTATAAAACAAATTAATTTAGGTTCTGTTCACATTTGGTTTATGGTCAAAATGTGGCCCATTATTCTGAAACCAAAAGTTAGAAAAAAACTCCCATTGGACCGTCATCCCATTATCCAGAAAACAAAAGCCCACTGCACAAAAGGCCCGTTGTTCTGAAAACACACACACTCTCCCTGGACATGCTGGAAAAAATGAAGTCAGGTAAAAGCGTGAATTAATAGTTTGAGCTTTGTGGCTCATTTCACCTTACACTAGCTATCTGACCTATTTTAATTGTATGTAAGTATGGTTTAAAGCATGATAATATTTGCTGTTGGTATTGTAGGTAAATGAGCATGTCAAATAATTTATTACTCTGTTATTTTCACTATTTACAGTCGAGGACGAGCAGAAGCATCATTACTTGCTTATTGGGATATTTGTATTTCTGGTCATCGTCATCGTTGCATTGTGTGTGCGTTTCTACAGAAAACGTGAGTGATCTTAGTTCATTCTATATTGTAGTTATTTTACAAATATACTATTGTGACGTGTGTATGTTTTTGCCTCTGCTGTCCTGTTCCAGGTACCGCCCTCCCTTCCGACTGATCAGGCACACCTGCAGTGGTTTAGCAATCAAGACGATTGCTATATAAGCTACTGTGACGGAAGCAGACGGGGCCAGTGGGTCAAAAACCACCAGAGAGTCGTGTCGCTGACGGGTGTAAAGCAGAGCTGTGTGGTGCTCGTCTTGCGTGTGTTACCAATGGTAACTTACCATTACTCCCTCAATGGAGGGATAGTGTAATTCATATTTATTTGTTGTCTCAGTGGTTTGTTTAGTTTAGATGGTTATTGCTTCCTTTCTTTTTAGGAAGTTGTTTTGTGTTAACATTGAACTCATTTACGTTGAAATAAATCATTTAAAAGTACACATTTTTATGGGTTTTTTTTTGCCCTTCTTTAAATGGCCGGGTCAATTATTTGTTGTTACTCCTCTTTTCCCCTGGACCCCACAACTGAGGACGTTACAACTATCAACTGGTGAAAAAGAATAAACTGAACTACCACATAGAAACTTTGTGACCTGATATCGATAAACACAAATTAGGCTGAAACCATAGGAGGTTAGAGAAAATGCAGTGCTTATCAGAAGTCTACAATTTACAATTACGATAAAGCAGTGTATGCTTTTTGTGATTGATAGCCCATATCAGTGAGTCTGTCCAGCTCAACGCACCAAACTCAGATCCAACTGTCAAACAAGGCAGTGCTGATCAAATATGAATGTAAGATTCTGTTATTGCGTCCTATTTCTTGCCTAAAATCTTTTCAGAAACATATTTCAGTGTAATGTTTATCTGTAATACGAGATTGTGTGTGACCAGACAAGTCAAAACTGCGCAGCCAATGAGAGCAGCTCAACTCACTTGACTGAGTTATCCCTCTAATGCTGAGTGGTCACATCCCAAAACAGTATGTGAAGAAGGTTCTGAAGCAGGCGAACACTATGAAAGAAGCAGGCCCAGACAAAAAAACATGATGAGTTTTGTCTGTTTTGTTTTTTGCACAGGATAGAGGGACTGAGTGGTGCAGCTTCATCAGCCCAGCAATAGACCACATTCTACACTCAGGAACACAGAGAGTCTTAGAAAAAGCTTATTTTTTCAGGCCAACAGGATGATGAACTCATACAAGAACCACTTGTATGAACAGAATTTCCTCTGGGGCAGGAACAAAATTCTTGAGTGGTCCAGATGGGTTGGACAAGTCATGTACAGATCAGTCTCCACAGGGGGAAGAACCACTTGTTCCATAAAAGATTAAAAGTTTCCTTAATCTGTTCACTTGACCATCATCATCATAATGGCTTGTCAGTTTACTGAGGGTTTTTAGATTTGTATATGCATATTTCAGTATATCATCCCTCAGTACATCTCTTTTTGACAGCAGGCCTGTGGTCTGTATGCAATCTTTATGACATCCTTTTTCAAATCTGGTAAAAAATGTTCCAATTTGTATTAGAACCGATAATTCTACATTTGGGCTCTTGAATTCAATTATGAATTCGAAAAATGGGACAAAACAATAATAGAATCTTTCCACCTAGGGTTTTTTAAAAACATCCTGCATGTCCAACGGAAGACGCCATACCACCACAAAGCCTTAACCTGCCAAGAGCTGAAGCCAGAGAAGAGTCCCCTAAGCCAGCTGGTCCTAAGCCTGTCCAGACAACCCAACATGTCCCAGACCGCCTCACCAAAACCAACAATTAAATTCAGCCTACATGTAGATGTGTAACTCAGCATGAATTCTGATAACTCTTGTAAACATTCAATGATATTTTATTGTGATTCTCAACAAGGTTATATAATTAAATTTAGAGATAGTTCTCTTTGTGCTACCCCCAAAAAGAAATAAAGCATTGATCAGTGAGTCATATAAAGTAAAATAAAAGTAATTGAAAATCTAAATTGAATGAATTCAGCAACTTCACTGAGGGAAGAAGCTGTCTTTAAGCTGTCTGGTGGTATGTCAGTGGAAGCTTCTGTGCCTCTTCCAAGATGGGTGCTATCTGTTAGTAATCCAATAGCATTGATGCTGGGTAGCTGAGTACCAATGATCTTTTAGGAGGTTTTAATCACCTGCTGCAATCCTCCTTTAATGCTGTGCACATCCCATGATGCCAGTTTGTGATGTTTCCAGTCAGAACGCTTTCTATTGCTGCTCTGTAAAAGTTAACAGTAAGAAATACATTAGCAATAGAAGCAAATTCATCAGTGGATAAACCTATAGACAGTAAGTCAGCGACAGTAGATAGGAATGGCTTGATTTTAATTATATTTATAATAATCAGTGTTTGTATATAAATTGATGTAGTTGCTGTCAGATTAATGAAATTTTCAATGATTGGTGGGATGTCCCTTTAATTGGCTTTAAAATTGCCATACCAGCATGTGATGGATCACCTGACAGCCAATTGGGCTCTGATTGCCTCCACCTGAGAGTGCGGTTTTATATGTTGTCCTGGAAATGCTGTTTAGTTTAAGGACACTCAGCTAAAATTCTCTTTTCTTGACTATGGATATTTACTCCTACACTCGCCTGCAAGAAAATAAGGGTGTGCTTGAGTCAAGAACTGACTAAAATATTTAACACTGACAGACAGTTGCAG